TGCCACAAACCCAAGGAGTAGGCCATTCTTTGTGCTCCTCCAATAAAGACAGAGTGCATTGGATTTAGTTACTATTTAAGCAGGGAAGCTTGAAAGGGCTTCCTAAGAACCAAAGTACCCAGAAGGCAACTGCAGAGAAAACGAGATTGATTTGTTCTCGGGTTCTCAAAAGACAGGAGATGCAATGGGCTTAAAATTGAAGTTAACAAGATTCACACTAAGCACTTGGGGAAGACAACACCACTTTTCAATTTTAAGGAGAATGAAACCCTTGAGCAGGTTACACTGGAGAGAGGTAAGGAAGTAAAAAAAACACGGACAGTAGCAGGATCACAGGAAATTGTTTAATTTTTGTTGTTCCTTACATTTATTTTAAAAATTATATAGAATTTACTGGCTCCATCACTCATTTCAGTAGAAGATCCTAAGGTACAATAGAGAAATTTTTTTCTGTTTAAGCATTTGTGACTTTTTATTCACTTCTCTCCACTACCTTCAGCATAGTCTTATTTTTCAATTAACATTCTTACATTTTTGTGACGACCATTTACCACAGCTGCAAAGATCAGAGTCTGTCTTATATTCTATCATAACTAAAGCTTAAAAGACACAATAGTCAAATAAGGAAATGCAAAAGAAGGAAAAGAAATCCTACCAATATTTTCTATTCAACTCTCCCCATTCTAGGACTCATGGGTTTACTGCTGATTTACACTTCCATAGAAAAATGTAGCATATGGTAAGTTAAACAGGACAAGAAAATAGAGAGTACAATGGAAGTGAATTAATGAAAATCAATAGTTTTGAAGACTAAACTGAATTGACAATAAAGCTTATGGGGTTTATACAACTCGAGCAATTTCACTGTTTCATATCAGGAAATTAGACAAAACTTTCAATAAAGTGTTCTTTCAAGAGTGTAGTTTAAAGGATTGCCTTCCCACTTTAATCAAACTTCAAATAAATAACAAAGAATAACTATTAATTATAGTACAGGCATCATCAGCAAGGGATAAAATGTGCCTTGATCAGAACTTCTCAGGTTCTCTCAACCCCTCCCCCATAGAGCAGAGAGGCAAAGTAAGCCCTACCTCACTCCCAAGGATTACCTGGTAACCTAACTGAGGCAGACAATCTGTTTGGACAACGGCCCTGCAGTGTTAGATGTGGAACTCTTCTTTAGTTTTAGCCACAAAGTCCCAATTGACAATTCTAGTCTTCCCCTTGTTACCAGTGAATGGAAGAACTGGCCCTCCAGAAGACAATTCAGCAGGTCTCAGACCCTTTAAAGGGTTGCCTGTGTTATTCTATTTCTCCCCACTGTCTGCAGAAGCAGCCTAATGTCACTCAGACTTGACATCAACTCTTCCCTGGCATACCTGGTTAGACATCTCACAACATTTCTCTTCCCATTCTTCCCTCAAGCAGTGTTGGCTGAGATTCCAGTCTCAGCTTCTTGGCACCTCTGAAGGAAAGAGTTCTGGGGGTAGAGGTGAACACAAGCATCACCAACTTCAATGGCTTCCACAGAGGTCAATGCAAACACATAAAAAAACTGTTTATTTTTTTAAAAAATAAATTTTAAAAAAATTTGAAATGCACTATCCAGATAGCAACTTTTGTAAAAGTGAAAGCTACACATTAGTATGATAAACTAATAGCCTGTCTCTGTACACACTTAAACAGGTATTTTAGCAGAAAATCTACATCTCGAAAAATGAAACCATATCCAAATGTTTGAAGAAATAAAATCTACACTTTTTGTCTCAGGTTGGTTGTTTTTTAAAGTAATGTCATTCAAAAGAATTACTCTGTTTTCTAACAAAAGAAATAGTTCTACAACTTCACAGTAGCATCCAATACGCTCATAACAAACACTTTTTATATTGCAGCTGGGACAAGGCACGCCGTACCATTAAGTCTCCCAGAGGTAAAAGTCCATGCTGCCACTTGGGCTTAAAGAAGTTCAGATTTCTGGAGCATAGCATCAGTTTTTGAAATTTGTTCCATCTTGGGTCCTGAGACTTCAAAATTCCATCATTAGAAAGAGGAAAAACTAAGACAAATTCTCTTCAAAACCCTAACGTGATTTAAACACACTGTCCATGAAAAACAAAGACTAAGGAGAGGCTGTGCTTCACAGATCTTCTAGGACCTTTACCATGATCATCTACTCCTTATCAGCTAGCCCCTTCCCCCATTAATTCTAATTATAGTTTCTTCATGAAATCTCCTGAAGATCTGTGTTAAAAGGTAGGATTTATTCTAATGTACATTATTTTTAGCCCTCTAAGAAACAAATTTTCACTATCATACGCTACAAATCCTTTTTTCCCTCCGTGTAGTAAAAGACAAACCACATATAAGCAGGGGATCTGAAAGAACAGAAAGAACAAGATTTTATTGTTTGTTTATTTCTCCACATAGCAGGTGTGGATATTAACACCTATGCCATGTGGAGAAACAAACAAAAAAGTCTGAAACACACAGAACATCTTCACTGCATCAAATACATGGCACAGGAGATCAAACACCTTGGTACCAAATCTGTAAGAGTTTGTCCCACCAGTCACAAAGAAAATCCATTGTCAGATATTTAACCAATCTAGCCTAATTTTCTGACACCATAGCTGGAAGGCAGAAAAGTTAAGCTTTTCAAGGAAGTCTAGTGCTTCAAATACATTCAGAAGCTCTAAAGGAAGACTTAAAAATATTCAGTACGCTTTACATTAGACTCGTATGCTATTTTCTTGTCTATTTTAGGCATACAGTCTCCTCAATTTTCCATTCAAACATTAAAAAAGACTTAGATGTATGCCTCTAATAGTACAGCAAAGTAGCTTAGGCTTGATTCCAATTTCACCAGGAGCAAAGAGATTCACAGCAGAGATAATCCATACTTCAGGGCTATTGGATTCCTTTTAGAGCTGCTTGAGAAGCGGAAGTTACACGGTTATAATGACAAAACAAAGGGGGAAATTTAAATGTGTCTCCTAGCACAGGTTATAATGCAAAAATTAACAAGTATTAAAACAATGCAATAAATTATGATTCACACCACTTTCTTCATTTATGTAAAGACAAATCAGGAAGTGCAATCTTACACTAACCAAATAATCCACTAATTAAACAAAACCAGTAACTAAAAAAATTCAGAAAACAGTATTCACCTATAACAGCAAACTATCACTACATGTCTTTTTTCAACCAAAGTAATTACTAACTGCACTGAATAACCAGTTTGGCTGGCTGTGTAGTTCAACTTGAAGCTTTAAATTTACCTAATACAAGAATGGTTTTCTATAATAGTACTGAAACCAGTACTCCAATTTTATTGCCCATTTGTAATCTTTGCAATTGAATTTAGTACTCAGTTTTTTACCTACTAATATTCTTCATAAGAGAGAAAAGTGAACTTCAAAAGCAGACTATGTATTTTCAGGCATTTTTACAAGTATTACTCTTCCTCCTCACCTTCCTTTTACATTGTAAGTTTCTTGAATATTCCTTAAAGCTCTATAGCTACTACCAAGTTATTTTGTCCTTGAAGACATTCATAGCATTTCTCTTCCACCAGAAAATACATACACTTGATCCTCAGCTAGTTTTTTTACATAAAATTGTACGAATTACCTTAAGAGTATTCTGCAAGTACAGTCCAAGTCCACAACCATCCACAATAATTCAGATTATCCTGAATTGAGTCTTTCCAAATGCAACTAGCTTTGCTGTATGTGAGGGCCTTTAATGTTCACATCAAATAACCTTCAAATTGTCCAACAACAACAATAATCAACTCTATTGTCTTGATGAATAAACCCTGTGACAATGTGCCCATGAATGTCATGGACTATACATATTCTTAAGTGACAAGATACAAACCACAATTTGGAAGTGATTCTACTGAAAATTTAAAGTTTGTGGACTCATAAAATGAAGATGGATACTAAAATGAAAGAACATAAGATAGCTGCCAAACTATGTAACTTCTAAAAAAGGTATTCTTCCTATATTTTCCTTAATATTTTACAGAGTTGAAGTTACAATTATTAAAGTGCAGAGGTTTAAGAGTGAATTCGGCTCATGACTCCTTAATACACATGTCCAAAATCAATCAAACAAATAAAACCAGGTTCTAATGCTAGCCTGAATAATCTGACTGGACGGTAAATAAATCAGAACAAAGACCAAAACTTACTGAATCACCTAGAGGTATCTCTTATCAAGACAGATCATCTATCTGACAATAATTCCGTGTTTAGAACAGACAAGACCTTTCACAAGACCCAACAAAACCACACTGTAACATGCAGAGAGGCAGCACGCACACAGAATTCCCTTTTCCTCTGTCATCAGATCATCAAATGGACGTTGACAATGCGATTTTTGCCAGCGCAGCGTTCCCTGCACAGAGCCTGCCACGCATGGTTTGTGGGCTTGGAGCTTGCACAGGGAGCGAGCGCTCAGCACGGCACGGCACGCACGGAACCCGCCTATGTGCCAACACGGAACACGGGGGGGAAGAGAGTTTAAGGGCTGCTGGATACTCCGAACTCCGCTAGTTACAACACTCAGCAGCTGCAACGATCCATCACATTCTGCAGAGGCACTCTTCTTGCTGCAGAAGAGCGTAGTGATTTGTTAAAGACAAGTTTCGAAAGGACAAACAGACAGGGGAAACTTGCGGGAACACGAGCGGAGTTTCTCTCGTGCTAGCCCGTACGAAAGGCAGCTGCATGCCCGCTACGTGGGACCAGCACGGATTTGAGGCAAAGCGAGAGCATCACAGGTAACACACCGGGAAGGCAAGAGCCCACAGCAGAACCTCCCCCGGAACACCAGCCTTGCCCCGCCGTTTGTTTCTTATTGAGGACGGCAGCGGACAATTCTGGCCCAGGGACCGGGGAGCGGGACCTGCTGCCAGGGCGCCTTCCCACGGCGCTAGGAAAGGCGGGATCTGATTTGGAGCACCTGGAAAGCAGGCACTGACCTGAGGGTGCGGTTGCCGGCGCAGCCGCGGCGCTCCATGGCGGCGGGCACGCAGCTGGTGAGCTCGGTCCAGTCGGCGTGCAGCCCGCAGCTCCAGCCGGTGGAGAAGCGGGAGAAGAGCCAGGTGTCCTTGTCGCCGCCCGGGCGGTGGCAGGCGCACTTCTTCTGCCCGGCCCGGCAGTAGCAGGGCTGCTCCAGGTGGATGTTGCGCACCAGGTGCCGCCCGAAGGTGGTGCCGCCCGTCTTCTGGATGTGGAGGAAGACGATCACGTCGCGGCCCCGCATGTCGAACCGCACCCGCCGGCACAGCTCCCCCCGGGCGAACGGGAACTTGGCCGCCAGCCGCGGCATCGCCGCCGCCTCCTCCTCCTCCTCCCGCTCCTCCGGGCCCCCCCCGCGGCGGGCGGCGGAGGCCGGCGGGCGGCGGGGGCAGGCGGCGCCGGGGCAAGCGGGCGACACGTACTGGTAGACGATGAGCAGGAAAAGCAGCGCCAGCAGCGGCGGCAGCAGCCACCTGTTGAAGCGCTCGTCCATGGCGATGCGCGGGGGCAGCGCGGCGCGGGATCAAGCGCTGCCGGCCGCTGCCGGGGCGGCCGTCCCGCTCGGATCCCGCAGCCGAGGGGCGCCCGGCTCCCTCCTCGACGGCATGGTCCTGGCAGGCGGGCAGCCGCGGCTCGCTCCGCTCAGCCCAGCGCACCCTGCCGCACCCCGCCCGAGGCGGCCATCCCGCGCCCGCCCCTGGGCGCCGAGCGCCGTGCCCGGAACGCGCTGCCCGGCAGCAGCCGCACAGCTCCACTCCCGATCCCGCTCCGCCGCAACTCCAGCCCAAACACAGCGCCCGGCTCCCGGCGGGGCGCGCCCCGCCCCCGCCCGCCGGCCAATCGCGGCCGGGCCGGCCGCCCAGCCGGCCAATGGGCGGGCCCAGCACGCCGGCCCTGCCGCCAATGGGAGCGCGCGGCGGCCCGGCGGGGGCGGGGGGAGCCGCCCCGCGCTCCCCTCCAGGTACCGGACCGGGACCGCCGTGCGCAGGGCGGGGCGGGAGGCGGCAGCAGCCAATGAGAGGGCGGGGGCGGGGCGCCCCCAACCGACAATGGGCAGGGCCCGAGGCAGTCTGAAAGCGCTGCCAGGGAGGCTGAGGGCGGGGGCGGGGCGCCGGGCAGCCAATGGGACGGGCCGGGGCGAGGTGCAGCCAGGTGAGCGGGGCTCCGTCAAACTCCTCCTTGCCCATCACTTTCCCGGAGGGAATGCTCGTCGGGCACTGTTTGCGGTGTCGTGTCCCTGTTGTAACCCCAAGTGCTTCGTACAAGGCGGTCGGGCAGCACCGACCACCCCACAGATTAACTAACTGATTGTAGGTTAGCTGGCACGCGGCGCTGCTGGTTCTTGCGGTCTTCAAAGTCCCAAACCATGAACCCCCTTTGCAGAACATTTTTACCTCCCCGAGGCAGTAACATCGGTTCCTCAGCAGCGCAGCTGCTCCATTAAAAATGTCAAAAGGTTACTTTTAAATCCCTCTCATGTATTTACAACAATCCACGTCCTGAAACTGTGTTGTTTTCCCTACTGAAAATTATTCTTTTCTAATAGACATTCAAATCTTTAGCCCGCAGATCACACTCAGCTGAGTTTTGCCCAAAAAAACTCGAAAAAAACCCCAAACAAACAACCAAAAATAAAAAACAAAGCAAAAACCCCCTCTTTTGCTTTCAGTGTGCTCCCCATAATGTTAAAAGTCTGTTACAAACACTTCATATCCAAAACCAAGCCTCATATGGCTCCTGGATTACAATATATTAATATGCAAAGCGTTTTGTCTTAGAACTGATTGCACATCTCGCTTATTTAATTACAGAATGCCTTTATTTACTGAGGGATTAATTAGATACCTGACAGTGCTAAAGCAACTTTTTTGCTCAACTCTAAAGACAGCTTCACCTCTGCAAAGCTGATAACGGAAGAGCAGTGCCTTCCCATGGGACCACTTAACTTTAGAACTTATAAAAATAGACAAATTTTAAACTGAAGATCTTTATATAGAAACCAAGAGTACTTGGATTTTTTTGGGGTCGAGTATCTGCTCCCATTAAATCTTGCCAGTAATCACGAAAATTACCAGAAAATGGTCCAAACACAAGGAGCTGAAACTGTAAATGTGAGGTGTCCGCAAGAACAGCAGGCTACACCGCCCACCTCCAAACATCTACCACACATGCATGCACACTCCCAGCATCCCATAGTAGTGTTGTGGTATTACACCTGTAAAAGTCTGACAGTGGCAAATGTTTGGGTCTTGCCAAAACATGAAAGGAAATTACGCACTTCTACCTTCCGTGAAATTTTTAAAGGAAAATGTCATAGGTTACTTGGTGAAATTCACCCTTGTACAGCCATGCACCATGGTACTGGAAGTCCTTTATCCTTTGGAAGAAGAATTCAGAGTCTGGTGTCAAACAAACCTATTTAGTCTTCTTGCTCTAATGACAAGAGATATTCTTATTGAAGTAGAAAACAGCATTTTCACCCTGAAAAATCACCGTGTTCTTTGCCAGCATGAGCAGCAGAGCACCCATCTCTCTAGGGAGACCAGACTCCCTTCTCTGCTCTGACCACCACCGTGCTCACCTGCTTTCAGACTCCAAAGTGTGGACTTAATGAGGTTGTCTTTTAGCATCTTCCTTTTACTAGGTGACACAAAGCCCGTCCTAGAGAAATTTAAATACTTATATGTGTAAGATATAGAAGCATTTTGTTCTCATCTCTACCTATTCACTATTTAACAGGAAATATGGCCAAATTCACTTGAAACAGAACTACTGCTGAAGGATTTAGACTCAGGTATCTCTTCTGATGCTTTTAGTATGATACAGGAATATCATAATTTAAGATTTTCTCACTAAATACCAGATTGTTAACACAATACCTTCATCTCCATGAAAAGGAGCTCAAAACTAAAGTTGCTAAACAGAGAAACCTTCAACTTCAGTAGAATATTAAATTCTTATTTATTTAAATTTACTCAAGACAGTTACTGATCCATAAAGACTGGTTAAAAAAATAATGGAATAGATGTATAAGGGAGGTAAAAATATTTATAATTATGTTTAACTGAAAAATTTGGCTTTAAAAAAGGTTCTTCTTTTTCGGAAACTAGAAGAATTTACTTGCAGTGCCACATGAATCAATGTGTTTTTGCAGCTTTCAAAGGCAGGCTTTTACTCACGAATTTGAATGCTCTTAATGAAGGTCTGTGGACCACACTTTTATGTAGAGTCACAAATCACAGCACAATCAACAACACAGAGTTTTCATTTGGTGGTATTTTATGTTCTCTTTATAGAGGCCCACGTTACTGTGCAAGTCCCTGTGGGATTAAGTTCTAATAAAATCATTTAGCTTCTTTGCAAGTGCATGGCTGTAACTCTTTAGCATCAATGAAGCAATGAAAAGGGTCATTTTGAAAAGAGTCGTGTTCCCATTGATTTAATGGGGTCATGACTGGGTTTAAAATGAAGCCCTAAACGTGGCAAACACTGCTCAATCACAACATTTTCCCTTTCAAATATAACTCATCTATAAATCTCCAATGAGACTTTAACTACAAGGAAAATCCAAAGTCAGTTAAAAGCTAATTTTGAGATAATCTTACAAAATCAATATAATTTTTGTGGATTTCGCAATAAAACAGTTACATATAAGACTTAGGATTCTCTTATTTTTTTCGTAATTCTCTAAGATCTTCTGCTGACAGCAGATATCTCAGAGTTCACCCACCAAGCATTCAAATAAAATAATATTGAAATGACATATTCCTTGTCACAATTTCAGGCAGAATATCTTCACCTGTCAAAATTTACATGCCAAATCTACTGTCATTTCCACCCAAACCAGGCTAATATGTAAAAGTTTTGCACAGAAAAGTATTTTAGAATTCACACACAGTATGTCCTTTGTCCTTGCCAGTTCCCAGGTAATGCTCAATACATTTTCCAAGTTGCTAAAAATAAAAATTGGCATACTTACAATACATTTTAAAGAATAATACAGTAGTTGCTAGTCTGAAGCAATGGGCATGTGAAATGTGAGTAAGCAGGTGATATTTTATGAAGCAAAGGTACAAAAACATGATTTCATTTAGCAATTACACGTCTGACAAAGTTAACATCTAATAGATTTGTTAATGTAAAATGAGAGTGACATCTACCTCACACTGGTTTCTTTAAGTTATTTATCACTGCTTGACCTGAGCTGTTTCAATACTTCTAGCCAGTTGAGATTTCCAATAAACCAATTTTTCATCATGCAGCAAGTCCCAGGTGTTTCCTTTGTCACAAGGATAGAAATTGTTAAATTAATAAATTAACGCTAGCTTCAGTAATTTGTCTGGGATTAATTTGTTTCAATGTTTAAGGTGTAAACCTCCCTTATTTTTTGTCAGATTAAATTCTAGTATGTGTGTGCACTTTTATCAAACCTTCATTTTAATGGCACATTGAGCGCCTTATTCTTCCTTGTAAAACAATTTATGCATCATAGTGCCAGCAGTTCTTTTTCTTGTAAAGTGGCAATTCAGCCTAAGGCTTGTTACTTTACACTTCTCCTGCTTGCCATTTTTTTTTCTGGATGTAATAATTTTATTAAACCTATGAACATCTTTAATTTCATTTACTCAGAATGCAACCACTACAGAAGCAATGTTTTCAGTCAATGTCTCATATGTGCTAGTCCATACTTGGGAGCTTCTGCAAGTCATTCTTACACTGCTTTGCTGCAGGTTTTCCTTATGAGAGAAAGGATCAACTATATTATGCCTCAAGTAGTCATAATTCCACCTCTATATGACACTGACCTTGGACAACTGGAACATCATAAATTGTTTCCAACACTCTAGTATATTTCTTTTTTTGTTTGTCTACAACCATATAACTCTTCATAGAACTAATACAGTACCTTTTAATACCTTTATTTAGGTTACAATTGTTGTGAAGGTAGTTTCCCAATAAAGGATCATATCTGAAAATTTTGATCTACATTTTTTAGATAATGCCAAAGGCAGATTCCCTTTCTACCAGGTAAACTTGGTCATTTTTTTCTTTTCTTTCACTCCTGGGCATTGCAGCAGGGACGTCTAGCAGAATAAGGACTGACCAAATGCTCTAAATATGTTTGGGCACGTGCCAACTAGCACTCTCTCAAACAACTCCTGGATATAATTTGGGAGTCAACCATTCCAGAAAGCATTTCCAACCAGCACTCAGTGACCAAGATTATAGCCTCAGTGTAGGTCAGACCATGTCATGTTATTTGGCCTCAGCTCCCAAGACAGTTTCTGAACATGTTTAATTTACTAATGGAGACAACGCTGCTCAGCATTTGCATGTTTCAATTTAAGAAAGAAAAATTTGCATTCACCCTCTTGCATTTTGTACTGTGGCATAACAAAGTTACACTTCCAAAACTCAGCTTGAAGTTACAGCGTGTTAGCTAGCAAGAAAATCTCTGGCATGCAAGGCTGCATATGGGCTTACTGGAGTCCA